GCAAAATGCACCAGATTCTGCCATTTATCATAAGATGCAGTGAAGGCATTCGACCTTATGATGTGGCCCTACTTATGTGATTTATTGACTAAATTTATACACAATTATACCATCAGAATCAAAAGAATCATCAATGAATAAATTAGAAGCCTGGAGCAAAGACTTAAAAGAAGATCTATGTGAGACTGATTGGACAGAGGCATGTAAGGAAGCTCAGGTTCAAACAATAAGTGTAAGATTGAAATTATTGCAATATAAATTGTTGATGCGGACTTACATAACTCCAGCTATTCTACATACAGTAAGTATAATGAAAATGTTCCAGATACCTGCACAAAATGCAACAAACTCAAGGGTGATTATTACCATTACATATGGGAGTGTGAACATATGTTTTTCTGGAAAGGTGTGAGGGATATGATCAATAAAATGATAAGTATCATTCAAGATAAGAAGGCAGGAACAGAATGTGAGGTCAGTAGCTTTTATCATGCCAACAGAAGAAGAGAGAGAGGGAAAATGTATGCATGATTCTTTGGTCTCATGAGGTCCCTGGACCGGTCATGGACTGTTTATTTTTTCCGCAAAGCTTTTTTTCCTCAATTTCAGGCATGACAGTAAAAAACCCAAATGACTCACATATGATCTGTAATTTTATTTTTTTTTAAAGAAATTCCATGGAAGTTACGGCTTCCTCAAACAGCTCCTATGACGTGCAGCTTCATTTGCAGCCTTCATCTGTTCCTCAAGTTCTGCCTCATAGGCCATCAACGTAGACAAGGCTTTTACAGCATGAACTGATAGTGAGTCTGTTCTGTAGGACTTAGTCTAGCTTAAATGAGACTTAAGTTAAAGAGGTCCACTCTTGATCAAACAGCGGGACCTCCCAACACCACTGAGGGCTGTGCCGTGAGCGCTGGCTCAACTGGAGGCTTCTAGCAGCTGGTTGGAACTTTACCTTAAATTACTTGTGGCATGAGAACACAGCTAATTCTTCCAGGAGAAACAAAAGGTCATATCTGGTTGTCTTGAGTGTTTTTAGTAGATTCTTTAGCAGGTGTCTTCAGCCTAAATCTTTAGTCCCTGGATGTCAAACTTCCCAGCGGCGTGTTTGCATACGTCATGCAAATTGAAATCTAGCCTAAGTGAGAAGCCGTCCTAAGGCAGTAGGTTTTACAACCACACCAAAGGGGGGAAGAGATGGGTCATAGTCCTCATCGTTGTCCAAAAAGTTTAGCTCCAACCCTGCTTAAGCATGCTTGGAGCTCTGACATTCCAGGTGGTGGTGGGTCCACAGCATCAAGAATTTCTCCCTACCTTTTCCTGACTTCTGTGTCAATGATTAAAGAAACAGTCTGGGAGGCCATAAGCGAGTTGCTACTGTACACTGTCAACTGAGGGGCCAGGCAGCAACAAAGAACCTTGAAGAAGACAGGCTACACTGCCAGCTGTCCTCCATAGATGCCAGGGCTGGTTTGATTTGTTTCAGTCTGAGGCATACTACACACAATGAATGGGCATCCCTCCTTGAAATTTAATTTCCACCAAACAGGTTGGATCCTGTTAACACTCCTCTGTCTTTGCAGAAGACGGTCTCCGTTATTTTAGTGTGATTCGGCTGAAAGGCAGGGCATTAATGAGTAGTGATTTTTCCAAGTCCACTCGTTGACGGTAAAAGTCTACGCCAAGTCGATGCGTCATTCTAAATTGGGGCAGTGGCAGCCCTAAATTACTTACTCTACTTGGATTAGGTCTAATCTTTTATTGTAAACTGTAATGTGTGCTAAACTAAGCCCATATGATAAACTAATACGATGGCTGTTTTTCATACCGCCATGCAAACTAACACCTGCCGAGGAAGTGTTGAGGAGGAGTTGTCGAGATGTGAATCAACTCAGCTTTTTAAAGTCAACTTGTTGACAAGTCGACTTTTTGGTGTATGCTCTACAGGGAGGCCACAAGGGAATTAGCTGGTGGAAAATAACCAGGTGTGGCAAGGTTGGGGGCAGAGATGCAGCTTCTCTAAATGTAGCTTACACTAAGGGAGTATTGCTACTCTGAGCTGACCAACGTACAACCGAGGTGCTAAGTTGACATTCTACTAGTTTAGTGGTATTTCTACCAGAATAGCTAGCTGCGTTGATGATGAAAAAACCCAGAGCAAACCAGCCTGCAACAGAGCTAGGCTACAGAGAGTATTAAAACGAGGTAAGCTCCGGATCCTGCCTCCCTTTAACTGACAGGCTTATTTTCACATAATTACAACATACAAATACTCCTAAAATAGCAATGTCCAAACATTTTTCAACAAATAAATGTGTTTTATGCCTGTTAAGAAAAACTCATCCCTTTTGCAGTCAACAGTTTTACATGTTTTTCTGTTTTTAAGGGTTATAGATTCATAAATTTAATCAAATACATATACAAATAGCTGAATTATTCAATCCTCTTACAAAATTTGGTTTAAATAATTTTTTCCAACCAGAAAGTTTTTCTCTTCTTGGTAATAGATCTGTCCTCCGTTGTCCAATTAAATGCAAAAAGATTATCAAAAAATCTGATTTCTTTCCACTTACATAGAAATGTCATGTGAAACGTGACTATCTATTAACATGATTTGAATAAAACTCCTTTACACTACTGTAGCTCTTTCGTGATTCCATGGGTATTTTATGTTGTCATTCCCATTTAGCCAGTTCCACAGATTTCTAAGCACATGTGGAGATGTCCCAGTCAGAATAAACATTATAGCCAAATAAAAAGGATCAATTTAAAGTTAAATCTTATAGAGGATGAATTATGTTGTATTTAATTCCTCATGATGGGGTGGCAAATTGAGCTAAAAAGTAAAATGAATCTAATGAGTTTGAGAAAATGTAATAAAAGTCATAGAGACAAACAAAATATGATGTGTAAATGCAAATTAAAAGATACTTACAAAATCTGAACAGCCCAAATAAAAGACAACCCACTGCCACTGCCACTGCCACTGATATCCCAGCTATGGTGCCTGTATTTAAGACTGCTGAAAGAGATAAAAACATGTCAGAAATGCATTGTCCCAGTACACTTTCCGTTTTTCAACTTTAGTAGCAACAGGATGTCAGATCTGCAGATTTTTTGTCCATATGAAAGAGAGCTGCTAAAATCTGAAAAATAAATGCATTTCTTTATATTTACTCCTAAGACAATTTTCACATTTTTTTAAGGGACTTGGGCATGTTAGGTTTTATTATTAATACATCATGTGCATTGTTATTTTGTTAGTCAGATTAGACAGTGCAGAAGACCTTCCTTCACATTGTGAATGTCACGGTGTGTACGGAGGTCATCGAATCGGGACAGCCTTTGTGTCTTTAAGAACACACAGGATATGGGCACATCTTGGAGCCGGTCTGATACTGTAGGAGAGCTATCTGTGTCTGTAACCCTGAAGCATAGAAGCAAGCTGCATGGAGTTCAAGACATGGATGGCGTGTCAGTTTCTGATACGGCCAGCTAAGCATCCACATGATGCAACTCAGACTCAGAAAGTATAAGAAGCAGGAGATGACGTTGTTTGGGGCTCAAACTTTACCAGACGCTTGCGGACGTGATTTTTGAGACCACAGCTGTGCAAGCTCTAAGCATTTTTCTCTGTCCTGTAACGACCTGACCTGCAATAAACTCTGTTACTTTTTTACTCCTGTTTTTATAGTCCTTTTTTATATGGTTTTACCCAGTTTGAGTTAAGAGTAGTAGATAACCTGCTCCCAGGAAAAGAACCGGTGAGGAGGCCCCCGGGGCGCTACAGCCTTCCTTCGAAGGGGACAAATCCTCCTCACTTTAACAGGCATGATACTAAATCGTCTGAGCTTCTGCAGACATGGTTCAAAACCACTTGCTGATGGTGGTCAGAGGACTATCTGTGTATGGCAGTCTCCCTTCTGGGGAGGGCCGCGGATCTGTGTCTGGTTGGGGGAGTGACTGAATTTAGTGCAACGAGCTTTGCATCTCCTGACTTTAAAAGATGGAATATAAGCACAGGCCATTTCTATAAGGGACTTCACCAAACCTTACTGATCTGTGCATGGAGGTGCATGATTGTGAGTAAGGCTGGGTGTCAAATGCTTTGAATGGTCACTGTGACTAGAAAGGTTCTAAGTTCAGTTCATTTACAATTAAAAGAGAAATTCTCAGTTGGTTAGAACATCTACAACATTTGTTGTTTCGCAAAAACTTTTTACAAATGATTGATCCAAATCCTGGGAGCGTGGATTAAACTAGGGAGTGTTAAACAAAATTAAAATCATAATTGTATAAGCCATTGGTCACAAAGGTTACAACTATGATGTGAATCAACATGCTTTAGGTTAGATTAGAGTAAGTATTAGAGTCAGCAACAAATGCAACTGATAAAATAAATGGGACCCAATGCAAATCATGTTAGCATGCGTGTCTGCAAAGGTGTGAGTGTTGAGGTTAAAATGATAATAGTCCAGGTTTTGTTATCATTCTATAAAATCAGGTTGTTGGAGGTTAATAATAATCCTGATGTAGGATACAGGCTAAAGGCCAACAGACAAACCATTAATCTTCTGAGTTCTACGCTTTAGACTTTTAAATAAAAACCAAAAGAGCCAATTTCATTTTTATTCAACTCATAGTTATGCTAAACTATTTTAGGTTTTACCATGTAAAATATCTAACTCTTCAATACTATAAATGAAAAGTAGTAGCATGGTTCCCTTAAATCTTACCTGGTTCGTTCTTGCAGGGAGATACTAAAGGCTGTGTATCATTTGTCCAGCTTACATTGTTGCTATGGTTACATACAACAGAGCCCTCCTGTATGTAGACCGTCAGCAAAGAGTCCTTCACATCTGGTTTGCTCAGTGCACGGCAGGTCTGATTGTAACATTGATAGATGCCACTAACTTCAGAATCAACCACTTTACAAGTTGCAGTGAAATTACAGTCCCGGGCATCCAATGAATGTGTTGTTAATTTGACTGGAGTCACTGGATCTGGGAAAAGAAAAGACGTGATTGATTTCATAATAGGGTGCTTTTATAATGTTTCAAAACAGGACAAAAAAAGAACAAACGTACCTTGGACTATGACAGTGTAATCAGCTATAATCCTCTCTTCTTCTCCACTTGCTCTTGCCTTATAGTTTCCACTGTCTTCATGTTGAACATTTCTTATTACCACAGAATAGTTTTGTTTAAAAAAATATGATCTACCTTCATATTTCCCCTTGACTGAGGGTTGAGTGCCATCATTAAATTTTACAACAAAAGTAGAGTTACATTTCCAACTAAAATCATCTCCTTGTTTAATTGCATTTTTGTCTACATCCAGCAGCAGGTCTGATCCTTTCTTCACAAACCGAGTTTCAGAGCCTGAAAGAACAAAATAAATTGTATTTCAATTATTAAATAATATCATCATGTTCAGTTTCTAGAATATCCTTAAATTAATTTTGAAGCAGCAGAGGAGATCTCTACACTACAGTATTAGACTGTGACCCTGTAATCATTCATCCATTTTCACACACATTCACACACTGATGATGGCAAGCTACACTGTAGCCACATCTGCCCTGGGAATCATTGACAGAGGCGAGGCTTCGGTACAGCGACGCCACATGGCCCTCTGAACACCACCAATAGGCAATGCAGGTGAAGTGCCTTCTCCAGGGACACAACGACACTGATAGCTAGAGCTTAGGCTTGAACTGTCAACCATTCAATGGGTGTCGCCCCAAAATTAGAACATTTAGTCGTTCTGGTCCATTTAAGCTGTTCAGACAGCTATGGTCAAGAAGACAAGGCTAAGATAAAGAAGGCAAATACTTCCTCTGCAATCTGTGCTTATATTAATGATTCTGTTAAACATGACTTGAATAGATTCTGTTAATACTTAAAGATGTTTCTTTCTTTTGGTACAATATCTGAGAAACATTCTTTCTCAGATTTGGACTGGGTGATCAAAATGATTGAACAGAAGCAAAGAAGGCGTTCTACTATGAGACTTTTCTGTTCACATCATACAAAGTCTCATCACATGCTGCTTTGGGGCTATAGCTTACGTATTTTTCAAACCTTGGCTTAATCAGAAATGTATATTGACAGATATAGTTTTGCAAGTACATCCTTGCCAGAACAGCCATCAGCACAAAGAACATAACTACACAGAGAAAAAACAAAGTCCAACATAAAATCTCTGAAAAGCAACACTGGAAGCTATCTGACTGATTTTAATCATATCTATGAGGCTCACTGTTTAATCAGGGTCAATAATGTTCTCCACAATCCTACAGGACTCTGCCCTTGTTGCTTTCTGTATTTTAAGCAGATTCATCTATTCTTTAATCCTGGTTGAGAAACCAATAAACATAAACCATATATTTTCTGTCTTGTATTTCTTTCTGTCCTTTATCATACTTTATGACTTTAGAGACTGATTTAGCAATTAATATTTTGTCCTGTACTTGTCCTGTAGTCCAGGGAGTTTTGTCCGATTCCACTTAATCCTTTTTGTAAAAATACTCATGACAATAATATATCTCATTCTAATAAACCAACACATATGAAGTGAGAACATTCAAAACTTCAAAGTTGAGCTCAAGATCTTTTGTTATATACAGGTCCAAAAAAAACTACCGTATTTTCACGACCATAAGATGCACCGTACTAAAAGGCGCAGTCTCAGTTATGTGTTCCTTTACTGTATTTAACACACACATCAGGCGCACCGAACTATAGGGCGTGGGTTTTATATACCAGTACATATCCTCTACTACGTTTAAATACCTCTACTGCGTATTTAAAAATAAAGCGGGAGAAAAAATTAGTATGTTTATGCTTTAATCATGTATTTATTACAAAGTATTAAACAAACCTGGGAGCTGGCCGTGAGACAGACACATCGC